ACACACTCCCTCTGCTGTCTATTAACATGAATAGGCTAGCGTTAGCCTGGATGGGCTGGTGTTAGCATTGGAGAGGCTAGCCATTAGCGTGCCTAGGCTGGCAACTAGCTGGATTTCCTACCCCCTTGATGGACCATTAGCATGGATAGGCTGACGTTAGCCTCCTCCTTGAACCGTCACCTTATCGTGGTGGAGGAGTTTGAGTGCCCTAATGATCCTAGGAGCTATGTTGTCTGAGGCACTTTGTGCCCCTGGTAGGGTCTCCCATGACAAATTGGTCTTAGGTGAAGGGTGAGACAAAGAGCGGTTCACAGGATCTTTCATTTTATGTAAATTCAAAGAGTTGGAGTACCTGGCCCGGAGGGTTACCGGGGTCCCACCCTGGAGCCAGGCCTGAGGTTGGGGTCCGTGAGCGAGCGCCTGGTGGCCGGGCTTTTGCCCATGGGGCCCGGCCAGGCCCAGCCCGAACCGGTTACATGGGCTCATCCAGCTGTGGACCCACCACCCGCAGGAGGAACATGAAGGGTCCGGTGCAGTGTGGATCGGGTGGCAGACCGAGGTGGGAACCTTGACGGTCCGATCCCCGGACTAGAAAACTGGTTTTTGGGACATGGAACGTCACCTTGCTGGCGGGGAAGGAGCAGGAGCTTGTGGCAGAGGTTGACCGGTACCGGCTAGATATAGTCGGACTCACCTCGACACATAGAATTGGCTCTGGAACCCAAGTCATTGAGTGGGGTTGGGCACTCCTTTGCTGAAGTTGCTCCGGGTGAGAGGCGGAGGGCTGGGGTTGGCTTTTTGTTAGCACCAAGACTCTCTGCCTGTGTGTTGGGTTTTACCCCGGGGGACGAAAGGGTAGCTTCCCTGCGCCTTTGGGTCGGGGAACGGGTCCTGACTGTTGTTTGTGCTTATGGGCCAAATATCAGTTCAGAGTACCCACCCTTTTTGGAGTCCCTGGGATGAGTGCTAGATAGTGCTCCATCAGGGGACTCCATTGTCCTGCTGAGGGACTTCAATGCTCACGTGGGCAATGACAGCATGGCCTGGAGGGGTGTGATTGGGAGGAACGGCCCGCCTGATCTGAACTCGAGTGGTGTTTCGTTATTGGACTTTTGTGCAAGCCGCAGTTTGGCCATAACGAACACCATGTTCGAACATAAGGATGCCCATCGGTACACTTGGTACCGGGGCAGCCTAGGTCGCAGGTTGATGATAGACTTTGTAGTCATATCGTCTGACCTGCGGCCATATGTTTTGGACACCCGAGTGAAGAGAGGAGCGGAGCTGTCAACTGATCACCACCTGGTGGTGAGTTGGATCAGATGGCAGGGGAAGATGCCGCATAGACCTGGCAGACCAAAATGCATAGTGAGGGTCTGCTGGGAACGCCTGGCAGAAGAACCTGTCAAGAAGGTCTTCAACTCCCACCTCCGACAGAGCTTTGACCGCGTCCCGAGAGCAGTGGGGGACATTGACTCTGAGTGGGCCTTGTTCCACTCTGCGATTGTTGAGGCAGCTGTTGCTAGCTGTGGTCACAAGGTGGCCGGTGCCAGTCGTGGTGGCAACCCCCGTACCCGTTGGTGGACACCAGAAGTTTGGGGAGCCGTCAGGCTGAAGAAGGAGGCCTACAGGGCGTGGCTGGTCTGTGGGTCTCTGGACGCAGCAGACAGGTACCGGATAGCTGAGCGGGGTGCAGCAGTGGCAGTTGCCGAGGCAAAATCTCGGGCGTGGGAGGAGTTTGGTGAGGCCATAAAGAAAGACTATCAATCAGCTCCAAAGAGGTTCTGGCAAACTGTCCGGCGCCTCAGGAGAGGAAGGCAGCAACTCACTCACACTGTTTACAATGGGGATTGGGAGTTGCTGACGTCAACTGGGGTTATAGTCGGATGGTGGAAGGAATACTTTGAGGATCTCCTCAATCCCACCAATGCGCATTCCAAGGAGGAACCAGAGCCGGGGGACCTGGGGATGGACTGTCCAAGCTTTGATATTAAAACTTGGTATTAAAGCAACCTGTGTCTGGATGAAAACTAAATTGAAATGTGTGTGTTTGGATGTGTGAATGTAGGTCTCAGAAGGTTTCTATCAAGAGAGAGAAAACACATTCTGGGTGAAAGAATTGTTTTGCAGCAAACTAAATTATTTCTTAAAGGGAACAGCATACAGACGCAATCTGTGTTCTACCTCATGGCTCAGATGACCCTCTGTGTGGATCTGAAGGTCAAGGGCAGATGTTGTCAGCCTCTGGGTACTCGGTCCGGTAGAGAAGACCCAAGTGGTGCCAACTCTCTGGTCCTAGAGTTGCCACAGGCACACAGGTGTTGAGTTTGCGTCTTAAATTAACTCTGACGGAGTTTGCATCAGCTGGTTGCAGATGGCGTTTTGTTGGAGCAATTCTATCTGCGTGACAGAACAGCTTAGTGGAGGCTTCGAGCGACCGACCCGATCCTCTGGGACTCTCGTGCCACGGAGAGATTTTGGTGAGCTCAAGAACTGAACTTGAACTGAGGAGTTTAGGTTTTAACATAACTCAGAACATGCCCTCTCAGAGATAGAAAGCTTTGGTTGTTATGGAATAAAGACATCTGAATGCAGTTACCTTTAACCTGATTTCAGTGTCCTGCATGGTGTGTATAAGTGCACATGACCTTCTGTCACTGATCAACATTACTGATTATCATAAATAATTATTATTATTAACAAAAGAATAATAATTAATTTCAGTAATTAAATACATTTATAATGAACCATGATGATTATTTATGAACCTTGTAATAAGACAGTGAAAAGAGTTTATTAAAAATGATTCTTTTAAATCTTGAAGTGTCCTTCATCTTGCGGATGGAACAACAGTCAGATAAAAGGCAGTCAGATTAAAGATGTTTTACAGCAGACTTTGTGTCTCCTGTGATGGATAATCTGTAAATAGAAGTACAGCCAGGACAGCTCGACCTAGCTGAGGAAGTGTGACCGTTGGGTCACAAATGAGGCCATTCATGTCGCTACAGTAGTTAAACAGGCGTTGTGCACACAGGTGCTTTGTGTCCCAGTGCTGTTGGTATCTAGGTCTCAGAGTTCTTGTCCTTCTGCCGTCTTCTGTTGTCCTCAGGATATGGCAGGAGTTTCCTGATGATGAGGGAGGGGCAATCAAGAACAGAGACACCATGGTCCTTAAACCAGGTACTGGTAGCTTTGGCAGTGTGTACAGGCGCCAAGTCTTGTTGGAAAATGAAATCTGCATCTCCATCAAGTTGGTCAGCAGTAGGAAGCATCAAGTGCTCATAAACTTCCTGGCTGACGGCTGCGCTGACCTTGGACCTCAGAAAACAAAATGGACCAACACCAGCAGATGAAGTTTAACCGCAAACTATCACTGACTGTAGAAACTTTACTCTGGAGCTCAAACAATGTGGATTCCGTTCCTCTCCTCCTCCTCCTCCAATTCCTCCTCTCTCTTAATGAGTTTTGTTTCACAATCCTGCCCATGGTGCAGTTATCCCTATTGCTTGTAACTTTTTTCTACCACATCTTGTCCTTCCAATCGCCTCTCTATTAATGTTCTTGGACACAGAGCTCTGTGACCAGCCAGCCTCTTGACCTTTGGTGTCTTGCCCTCCTTGTGCAAGGTGTCAATGGTCGTCTTTTGGACAACTGTCAAGTCAGCATGCGTCCCCATAATTGTGTAGCCTACAGAACTAGACTGGAAGACCACTTAAAGGTTTTTGCAGGTCTTTTGAGTTAATTAGCTGATTAGAGTTTGGCACCAGGGGTCTTCAATATTGAACTTTTTCACAGTAAATTTTAATTTAATACATTTGGGATTTTCATTAGATGTCAGTTATAATCACCAAAATATATCATTCTGTGTGTTCTGAATTAATCTAATATACCACTTTCACTTTTTAAATGAAACTACTGAAATAAATCAACTTTGCCCTCATATTCTTATTGTATGACCCACAGTATTTTCAGTATCAACAAACAACCATGCATCAGTCCAGGCTCTGCGTTGTCTAACTCAATAAACACATTTGGTCCACCTTCTTTGCTAAATAGGTGCAGCTGCAACACTGAACCTCTCAAGCACTACTTTAGCACATCAGCTAAAAACCTTGGTGTAATATTTAACTCTGCCTTCAAGTTTGAGAAACTGGTTAACTCAGATATTTAAACAACATTCCAAATCTTCCGAATCAGATAATAATAATTCATGCCCTGATCACATCTTGCCTGGACTACTGCTACTCACTGTGTACAGATTTGAATAATCAGTGATGAAACACACATTCAAAATGCAACAGCTTACCTCAAAACAAGAAAAGACTAAATGTGATCAATCCCTCCCGCACAATCAAATGATATTTTTAATCTCGATTGAAAACGTAATGGTACTCTCTGGTATTTAAACTCTACACGAGCCGGTCGTGTGCACTTTGTTTTACTGACATATTGTTTATCTATTGTTTAAATTCCAGCTTTGCTGTTTTGACAATTGCGATATACATTCTATTTATTGTTGATCTCTACTTGTTGTTCAGCAACATGCTGTTTTAATGGACTATACTCATTGACTTGACTAAATAGTTTTACACACAACTTACATTAGTTTTAACAATATATTCATATAAGCAGCAAAAGAAATCTGATGAACCTCTTGAAGCTTTAATAAATCATCTTATTTTTGTGAGCTTTGCCATAACAATAAGCTCTATAAAAACAGTAATTCCCCATACAATTAATTATGATGGTAGCACTGTTGCCGCGCTGCAAAAAGGTTGCAGATTTAAGGCTTACATTTTACACGCTTTTCTACACACTGTTAGTGTAACTCACCTTACCCAATTCAATATGATCTGTATCAGAAAAAGCAATAATTTTATAACCCTAGTCCATCCTTCTCTGTTTTTGTTTGTTTTGTTACGGTTATTTTGTTTATTTTTCTGTCAACACAAATATTTAAAGCATTTAAATATATGTATCCATCTTGATCACGAGTCAAAATTGATTCAGGTCTGCTTTCATGGAAATGTTACTAGTTGTTTCCATAGTTTGTGTCTCAGAGTAACTTAATGTAATTTGGTGTTTGTAAGATCACATCGTAATATTTTTCCAGACATAATAATTTTAATAGCTGACCTGAACCAGCTGTAAAAAAACGCATAGATAAATGGATTTAGCATTGAATTTGACAGAGCTAGCCAGTTAAGTGTTTCAATCACAGGAACTCGACCTGGGTTGTGGGTAAAAGGCAGAGAAGTGAAACAGAGAAAGAAAGGAGTCCAACAAAAAAGAAAGACTCCCAGAACTGTAGCTAAAGTTTTTGTTGCCTTTCTTTCCATCTTACTGACAGTTGCTCCACACATCATCCCTGTTTGGATGCTCCGTGCCTGTTTCTGTGCAACAAGGAAAATCTTCAGATACATGCTAAGTATTATAATAACTGGCAGATAATAAGCAAATATAGGTGCAACTGTGTTTGCCGCAACTACATCAACAAAACACATTTCTTCACATCCTTCTTCTAGTCTGGATAATACCATGGCAATTGCAAGAAGAGCAGAAAGCCCCCAACTTACAGTGATCATTACGACAACAACACGGTGGCTGATTTTAGATTTATATGTTAGTGGCTGACACACGGCATAATATCTGTCAATAGAAATACAGCATAGGTGTGAAATAGAGCATGTGCTGAGTAATATATCAAAGCTGTCTCTAACTTTACAAAATAAACTATCATTATATATACATGAGCTGAGAGAGAATGCCATGCTGAAGGGAAACACTAGAGTCCCTACAAGCAGGTCAGCCACAGCCAGAGACAGAATGAGGGAGTTAGTAGGAGTGTGGAGCTGTTTGAAGTAAAACACAGAGATTATTACCAAGAGATTCCCGCACACTGTGACAAAAGACAAAAGTGTAAGGAAGCCATACAACATTACACATACAGCAGAAATGGTTGGGGTTAATTTAAAACTGAAAGGATCGACTAAAGAGCAGGGATTTAAGGTAAATACAGCAGTCTTGTTTAGAGTAATGTCCTCCATGATGACCTGTTCAAAACAAGGTTTAGGAATGAAACTACAGACAGAAAACAACGCAACTCTGTGCTTCTATGTTGCTTGTCACACTGGACTACATGAGACCATATAAAAACCTACTCAACACCCAGTGGCACCACCATGTTTGTTGTCCAATAGGAATTGAGATCAACATCTTAGCTCATTCTAATCACAAATGAGCATGCGTTATGTGAGTATCAGTAGCGGCTGGTGAAAAATATTTTTGGTGGGGCTGTGCTATTTTTTATTTTTAAACAAACTTGTGCTTTCTGAGCTTTGTGCACAACTCCACTATTTCCTGAATTAAGCACAGCTCTTTTATTTCCTGTCTTACATCATTGGACAAACTGATTAATCCAGGTGTGTCTGACTATTGGCACGCTGCCTTGCGGACCAAGGTTGAAAAATACTGCATTAAATTGCACATAAAATAACATGACCATAAATGGTAAATAGGCTATGCAAGAGGCAAGTAACAAAAACATTTTGTTTAATTTCATCATTTGAGTGAACACGAAAAATTATGAGCAGGTCACTGTTACAGTAATGGTAGTAAACACTACTTAGACAAAATGCCAGAAATTTACACTGTTAAATATTTCTGGAGTGTTGTGCCACGGTCAACTTTATACAAAGATCAAGTGGATGCATTTGTGCGTGTGTGTGTGTGTGTGTGTGTGTGTGATACCTCATTTGTACAGAAATTTTGCCCTTCTGTCCTTCTGAGTGGCAAAGCTCTCAATGAGCTTTTTATTGAAGTCAGGAATGTTTGTGACAAGCTTTTTTTCTATGGAGAGCATGGCAAGAGCATTCAGCCCATCCTGTGTCATGGTGTTCCTCAAGGAAAGTCTTAATCCTCTTTAAAGTAGATAAATAAAAAAACAACTGATAAGTACATAGGAAACACTTTCATAGGAAATAATGTCATCAGTATCCTCTTACAAATGTCATATTTCCCAGTTTTTGGGACAATAAAACATTTCTGATTCTCAATCAGATGTTTTTACATTTGAGGTAAAAACATCTAATTAAGAATCAGAAATATTTTATTGTCCCAAAAGCTGGGAAATTTGTTTGCTGCAGCAGAAGTGTAACAAGTAAAATGGAATCAGACTGATGTATGCACAAATTTACATGAAATACACATTTACGTGATTAAATATGTATAATAAGTATGTGTGTTGAAATTAGTTTTTACAGTTATTGCACATTAAACATGTTATTAAACAAATGTCCTGGTTTGTGGGACAACCAAGGATTTCTGATTCTGATTGTCTTGTTCACAGAAATGTAATGTACAGCTTACCTCTGCACCCAGCTGCTGTTGTTCCCTGCATGGCAATGTTAGCTCTGCCTAGCATGGCTAGCTTCACCGTGTTGTTGTCCATGTGTGCCCGGGATGACTCGTGTTTCTTCACCTTCTCAGAAAAATGTTTCATGTCTGTAACTCCTGACTCATCCATGCCTTATCTGTCCCAGCCGTTTTGAATAACAAACATGGAAAGCAAAATAACGCATTAGCATGATTGCATCCAGCTAGCCAAGCCTTCCTGGTGTACCAATTTCGGGAGAAGCCTCGTGTGTACAGTTTACCTCTCTCCTTCTCCTGCTGGCTTATCTTTACGTCGGGCTGATCTGGTCCAAGCTCTTTGACATTAAGTTTTTCCATCATAGTTCTCCTCTCGAACGGATACTGGAGAAGAGACCAAACTGAATTCAGTGGCTGCTGAGATCCGGTATCCATGCTGGTTGTAGTCACTGGCGGCGTCCATGTTACATCTGCGTCACGACCAAAAACGACTCTGCCGAGTTCTACCGAACACCAACGAAACCTTTGGCGGTAGCTCCATCGCCCATCATGCTTCTAAAACAACGTCGACGCTGATTGGATACATTCCCATTCCTACCCTTTGATTTTCTTGTCAGCAATTGGACGGCTGGTCCCGTCCTGTTTGGGCGATTCAAAAACAGCCTACAGCCTTCACCGCTCGGCAGAGACCGGCAGAGACCAATATATAAATATATATATATATATGATTTATTTTTGTTACAAAACACACAATTAACTTAGAATATGTGATTATTGTTAATTTTATTTATTTATTTTTTTAAATAAAAATTAAAAACACTGGGGAAAACTGGGAGGGCGGCGCCCTATCGCCCTCTACTGGCCAGCCGCCAAAGGTGATTATGTTCATGGATGTATTATGAAGTGTTTATCCAGAGACACTCAAATTTGAACTGCAGTTTTAAATTTAAGCAACTTTCTTGTACACTCAATAGCAGATTTTATTTGTATAAACAAGAGCTTCTGATGCAGTTTCACAGATTGTCATTTGGTAGGGTTATGTGCTCTAGGGATGCTAAGGAGATTTAAGGAGATTGAACCAAACACAAAGCTAATAAAAAAATAATAAAAAAAATAGCTGAAAGCAGTGACTTTGACTAAACAAAGTAGCAGGGGGCAAAGTTGAAGCAGATGTTATGAACAAGACACTGAAGCATACAGAAAATAATGCTGCTATTATACAGAGGGATGCAAACGTTTGGGCAGCCTCGTTAATCTTCATGATTTTACTGTATGAATTGTTGGCTTTTACGAAAAAATGTTCTTTTAATATACCATATAGGAGACACTCAGTGATATTTGAGAAGTGAAACAAAGTTTATAGGATTTAAAGAAAGTGTGCGATAACTGTTTCAACAAAGTTAGGCAGGTGCATACATCTGGGCATTTTACCGATTCCAAAAACTTTAGAACTAATTATTGGATATCACAATTAGTTTGGTAAGGTCAGTGACCCTTGGCCTCCATACACAAGTGAATCCAGTTACGAGAACGAGTATTCAAAGGGACTATTACAAGTTTGAAACTTTTATGCACGCTATTGCCCTCTCAGGCCAAACGTTTAACTGCAGCTTCTCTAGCAAGCTTGTGCATGAGGTACGCATGCTGTACATGCACACTCCTGAATGAAAACAACAGCTGAGTCAGTCCCATACCAGTGCAATTTACAGGTTTAGACTGTTTACACAATTCTAGTAAGTTAGACAAACAATGTATTCTGATGTAGACACACTAGAAAACCAGCCTAAAATTGTTCCAACTCTCATATACGGAAAGCATCAACTCTGTAATGTGTAAAATAAACTCTAAAAGTATAAATAAAGTGATCTTAAGGCAGATTTGGTGTGGTGATCTAAACTGTTCTGTTATAGGATATAGCTCAGACCTCCTGCTCTTCTCAGACTCTCTGCCATCTATGTGCATTACCAGCATTTTCTTGAACAGCGGCTTTCCCCCCTTATGTTTATGTTTATGTGCTTAGCAGACGCTTTTACCCAAAGCGACTTACAATTTTTTTTAACCTATAGGGCATGTTGTGATCTGAGGGGGAAACCGGAGTACCCGGAGAAAACCCACGCATGCATGGGGAGAACACGCAACTCCACGCAGAAAGGCCGCAGCCGTGTTTCGAACCTGCGACCTTCGTGTTGCGAGGCAACAGTGCTAACCACTGCGCCACCATGCTGCCCTTCTTAGGGCAGCAGTAGGTCAACAGGTTGAGCAGGTTGTCCAGTAACCGGAAGGTTGCAGGTTCGATCTGGACAGAAAATTCTGTTGTTGTGTCCTTGGGCAAGACACTTAACCCACTTGCCTGCTGGTGGTGGTCGGAGGGACCGGTGGTGCCAGTGCTCGGCAGCCTCGCCTCTGTCAGTGCACCCCAAGGCAGCTCATCACCATCAGTGTGTGAATGTGTGTGTGAATGAATGAATGATACACTGTAGTGTAAAGTGCTTTGGAGCCTTTACTCTGAAAGGCGCTATACAAGTGTTTATCATTCTCCACTTCTCTGCTGTGTTTTCTCTCCATCTAGATTGTGATAGTAATAGCAAGCACCGAGCAACTGGGAGTGGGTGTCATGATATTCAATTCAGTTCAATTCAATTCAAAGATACTTTATTAATCCAGGAGGGAAATTAAAGTTTCAGTACACACAATTCTGAGATCAGACATACATACATAGGCAAAGACACATGACAAGAATTGGTGACTGTGGTCATTCACAACCCGAGTCACGCTACCTTAATAGGGATCAGAGGGTTTACATGAGGATTGGGTCAGGTGGAGGAAAAAAAGGCACTTCAGAGTTACCCTCCACAGGGAGGGCAGCTTTGCTATGCAAAAAACTCCTCAAACACATATGCAACAGTCTTCAGACATTACACCACATAAGTGTCCACTAGGAGGGGTGGTAGGGTTTGGGACTCTCCACATGTCAGTGAATGCAGCCGCGATAAGCAGCGCTCGTCACCTCAGTCTGGACAGGGGTGGGAGGTCGTTGGGTTTAGAGAGCACAGTGACTCCTGGAACGATTCAGCGGCCTTCACAGCTCACTGTCCAGCCAAGGCTGGGATAGGGAGACCAAGTTGCTATGGCGACAGCAGCATTCCACATTTTTTCTGAGGGGGATATTCGTTTCAGCCTCACAGGCTCAAGGGCACCGGATTCAGATAAGAAATTGTTTTGGGGCTAGACAGAGATAATTTCTTCTCTGTATTAAAGTTCTGTTGGTCCTCAACCCCTCTGAATCCAATAATGGTGCAAATTAATCTATCCCAATCCGTGCTGATTCATCAACTTGCTCCTTGATCGCATCCATCTTTTGTGCCAATGCATGAATGTCATGAGTTAACTGGCGGATCTGTAAAAACACCCAACACAGAATGACTAGTTTAAGAATGTTTATTAAAAGGGAAGAGGCAAAGGCTAGGTCAGGAGACAGGAGGTCGTTACCAGGAGGTCTGAGGTGGGAATTGTCCGATAGGGAAATCCAAAAAGGCGAAGTCGGGGACGGATAAGGATCGGAGCCAGAAGATCAGAGATGCAGTGGAGCAGACACGGTAATCCAAGAGGCGAGGTCGGGAGCGGATAAGGATCGGAGCCAGAAGATCAGAGATGTGGCGGAGCAGACAGAGTAATCTCAAAGGCGAGGTCGGGGACGGAGCAGGGTTCGGGATCTTCGAATACAAGGTGAGTAACAGGCTGGAGAATTTACTAGCAGGGCATTCAATAATCTGGCGATGGTTGAAGAGCAGGCTGGGGTTTAAATAGCCGAGGAAACATGTGTGGAGGGTAAGTTGATGACAGGAACAGGTGGAATGAATGGAGCTGATGAGGTGCAGGCTGAGGTTGCTGTGGCAACAGGTCACAGCAGGAACAGGATCATGACAATGAATCTCAGCCAAATAAATAATAAACCTCACAAGATAAATCAATAATAAATCAAGTTGACATTGTTAAGGACCAACTTGCTGCTCAGCAGATTCACTTCCACTTTAAACCCCAAAATGCTCTACATTTTGGTGGAACGTGGAAGCGAGATGTGTAGTCAGTAAAGAATGCCATCCGCACCATTCTAGGAGCTCAGAGGGTGCCAGAGGAGATGTTCATGTTAGTCCTTATCGAAATAGAGAGTACAGTGATCCCTCGCTACTTCGCGGTTCGTTTATCGCGGATTCACGACTTCGCGGATTTTTTCTTTGGAGCCTTATTCAAGGGAAATTCGCCGATTCGCTGTATTTTTCACCGATCCGCGGTATTTTTCTATGCGAAATTTCAAGAAATTCCTGTTTTTTTCATCAATTTCATCATAAAATGCACTTTTTGTAATAAAACTATAAAAAAACCAAGTAAATTTTTTTTCTTGAGTTTTACCCACAAAAAGAGAATGTGATCATACAATAATTCAATATAGTACTGTACTGTAAATATGGTGTCCCTACTTCGCGGATTTTCACCTATCGCGGCCAGGTCTG